TGTTTATGTTTTTATCTTCGCTCTTTCGGCCAATTATTGTTTCAAAAATATATACTGTTTAACTATTTTAAATTTTAAAAATTCATTTGCTAACCTGTAAACAATTTGAGCGAGTTTTTTCATTGTGTTTTTAATCTTGTAAAGGCTATTAAAACCGAACAACTTGCTCTGTTCTCGTTCGCAAAACGTCGGAAATTCAGTTTGAGCCGCCATTTTATTTTTCTCTACTAGCAGGATACGAGCTAATATCCTGCTAGTAGAGAACCAATCAGATTGCAGAATACCTCATATCCAGACCTTGTGTATATAATTATCACTTATTTACTGAGACCGAGGGAAACAGTGTGTTTTGTGGACCCGAGACCGTCGATGTTTCCCGAGGCGAAGCCGAGGGAAACATCGACGGTCGAGGGTCCACAAAACACACTAGTGAGCTAAGCAAGTGACGTTTTTGACAACACGAACGGCATGAGTAACGTCAGAAGACTGGGTCAAGGGCTGTGATTGGTGAAAAACGTCAACTTTACTTCCGGTCAACGTCCGTGTTGTCAAAAACGTCACTTGCTTAAGCTCACTACTGCTTTCCCGAGGTCTCAGTAAATAAGTGTTTTACTATATATCAATAGTCAAAGAAACAACAAATTAAAGAACAAATGAACGAAAAAACATGAAATATTTTATTGTTAAAACGTTATATTAAACACTGGCTACATTGCAGATACTTAAAGCGAAAGTTTTAATTACATATACGTACTAGGAATGTCCAAAGGTCGCATCTTTTTTATTCGCCGGTCGATAACGTATTATCTCCCTCTCGCGCTGTTGCGAGGGAGACAGTCTAACTTCGTCACTCTCACGTGCTATGCTCTCAACCAATAAACATCAGAAAATGCGACTTTGACTATTGATATATAATAACAACGGTTACCCTGGTTGCCAGAGTTCTCGTATCGTTCGCCCTTTTCTCGCTCGTTTTATTTCAGTGATCCTGGTTTAGGAATTTCAAATATTTCAAGAAACGCTATAACATTTTGAGTTACTTAGTGTTTTTTAAAATTTCCTTTCATAAATGGTGCCTGGTGTCAGTTTAGGGCCGTCACGAAGAGGCTAAAGCAGGGAGGGGGGAGTATCGCATTTGCAGACAACATTTCAGTCGCTAATCACTCAGTATTTCTATAGTCTCTTTGATTGCTATTTCTTAAGATTTTTGCTATCAGTACTACTTTTTAATCCGAGCCACTCAAATTTTTCGCTGACTACGAAGACAATTTGCCAACAAATCCGTTATTTTGCCGACAAGATGTTTTCAGGGTAAGTGTCACCGCCCCTCGCCCCCCCAGCGCGACGGCCTGGATTTGGGCCTTACTATACTATAGGCATAACTTTACGGCGTATGCTCAATAGTGTCCGTTTCTGGCGCCAGCGCAGGCAAAGCGGAGGTAATGGAAGCTGGGCTTATTGTTAATTGTTGAGAAAATTGTGACGCAACGGCGTTTCACGAAAGTTTCCAAAAGTGAAAATTCTTTCTGCTAGATTTATATAGTTCGTCTGCAAACCCCAGAGGAAACGTTAAAGTATGCGTTCGAATATTTGGAATAACAAACACAAAACCATGATCCAAATTTTCTATTGTGTTATCAATTTTGAATTATTACGCATCCTATTAAATTGTGGAGACAGGTCAAAGGGGATTCTACATTTATTAAATAATTAAATAAATGCTGCAATTAGTTTTAATTTGCGTGACTTCTCTAGGTAATATTTTTCTATATCCCTATGTTTGTACTTTATTAGAGAAACAAAAGCTACAGTATTCTTAGACTTATGGGTATAGTCAGACCCATCAGTGCAAGGCATAAACCTTCTGTTTAATTAGACAGAGCGTTTAATTAGAAAATTACTCACAGTAACTAGGTTACAATGTGAAAATTCACAACCGCCTTATAAATATTTTACTCTAGATTTTAAATATGAACTACAATACTACAAGTCAGCGTTAATCGCTGCAATTATTATTTATTGTCCTTGAATATTAGTTAATTACCGTAAGGGTTAATCGTATCGGAGAGGATGGGGGTTTGCATGGTTATATTCCGTTTCAGTTCTACCCTGCAGTCAAAAATTAATTACCAGAAGAAGATTAATAATTGAATGATCAACATTCAAAGGCTGATTCTTAATTGCATGTAATTTCTTGCTACACAACTGCCCAATAAAACCAATGCGCATATATGTACTATCTGTACTTTCCATGTGGCTTTATTTCCATCACTCTTGCACATTCGTATCAAAAACTGAGATGTTAAACGTATTCTTTCCCCTACGTCGAACACACGGTGTTGCGTTTTCAGTTAACGACGAAGAAAAGTTGAGATCGACTTGCGACTTCCTGAACTCAGCTTTGATTCTGTTGGGAAACAAGAAAATGTATTTAAGGCCATTTTTGCTGCAACGCAATCTACAACATATCTATACTTTGTGCAAAAACGGTAAACATGGCCAGCGTTTCATTCCACTGATGTTTTTCATTCTCATTCATTTCTTGCAAGCTTTTATGGCGAGTTAGTAAGAAAAACCTTATGGACCATTTTATACGAATACTCTCGTTAGTGAAAACCTACGGTTCAATTTCCATTTCTTACACTCTTTTAACATCATGCTCCAACACCAATAATTCAACAAACTACTGATAAATGTTTAAATATAAATCTAATAAACGCCCCCGTAGGGATGCATGCAGCAATACAAAACAGTCAAGTAAGTGCATGAAAATTGATAACGTTGATACTCAAATCATACGCACGTTCTTAGTCTTCTTGTACTAACTGAAGAAAAAATAAACATCAAACTTTTGACTTACTTTGGAGTGATCTGTAAATTGACGACGCAAGGCGGTTTCATATTCATGATGATTTTAGTAACCAGTTCAATGGTATGGGTGGTGCGGAACAGGAAATCACCCTTGCTCAACGATTTTTGCTCGATATTCTACACAAAAGAAAAACAAAAGCAATACGGTTAGTATTGAAACTACTACGTAGCAGTACAGTTCGTCTGATGGATCTGAGTATGGAAGGGGTAAATAATAATTACGGTCTTACTCGTGTTTTAAAACCAGCACGCACTTGTGATGTCGTGTTCACCACACTTCCCCTTCAAGCCGAGAGACCTTGGTCGGACCTCTACTCAAGGTCTTAAAATAATTGAGACATAGTAAATTGTTAGACTTTCGCGTCTTCTCGGATAACGACGTTAAATCGTAGGTACCTCGGATCCCTTATCAATTGAGCAATAGCCTGTTGGGAAATTTGCTCACCGATGAGTGAAAAACTCAACAAACAATAAGCAAAAGCCTACCCAGAAATAAACGACAATCGATGTTTGCTAATGGAAACAACGCTCGTCATATATAAACGAAATAATCTTGTTGGAAATTAGCTCATACTTGTTTTTTTCTCATATTGTCCCGAAACCATTCCACGAACAGGACTGATATAGTCCAGCATACAGTAGTCGATCATGCATTAAAACTACCCGATATATTATGCACCAAACAATTACGATCCATCATCATAGACTACGAATACTGTTGCATGTATTATATGCGACAATTCAACTTCTATATACCTTCTTCACATGAAACATAACAAGCTG